AGAAGTTGCAGGGAATCGTATACAACAGGTCCAATTATAATTAAAAAGCATGTGCTTCAGTTTGGATATATATATTCACATTTACTTACAGCTTGGAAGCGTTGCTTCCAAATTGCCAGAGCATTGTTGTACTTGCTGAGTTTACCAAAAAAAAACCATTCCACTTCCACATGGAGTATTATTCCATGTTCAGTAAATGATTCACTAATTTGTATTTATTAATATACAAGAATCAAATCAAATTTGATATTGTTAAAAGTTAAATTATTTGCCTAATTGCGTGTAGCGTTGATATCTATGCGTGTATGTGTGTGTGTGCGTGGGTGTGTGGGTGTGGGTGTGTGTGTGTGTGTGCATGCCTTATATGCTTGTGGGCATGCATGCATACTTAAGCATATGTAATTTCACTAAACTTGTATATAAAAACATTCAAATTTACACATACATATATAGCAATGCATATATATGTACATATATATATATATGTATGTGTGTATGTATGTGTGTATGTATGTGTGTATGTATGTGTGTATATTTAAGGGCAATACTTACAATAATTATTACTTGATTGTAGCCAAATAAAGGGATGGCTTATGTAGATATTTGTTGTCGCAGTATATTGTAATTCATTTAGAATATATTCTAGAAACTGACTGTTAAATTGAATTTATTTAGAAGCAGCCATAAAAATGAAAAAATTTAACTCTATATTTTTAATTATGCAAATCTCAAAAACACATCGATTTGGACTGTTCAACAAACTCAAGTCTCGAGAATAACGTCAAATATTTTGAGAGCACTAAAAAGATAGAATACATAAAAAATCAGTTTATTCTTGAGAAAATATGCCTGTATGTATACAAATGTTTATAAATACATACAGACATCCATCCATATGTGCTTGCGCGTCTCTTTACTTATGTACACATACATATACATACACATATACACACACACTTATACTTAAATACGCTCTCGCTATCGTGCAGACTCATGATCATGCATGTATTTGTATTGATATGAACTTATGTATGTGAATATATGTATTTACGTATGTAGAGTGATAAACAGAAATTTTGAAATATAGATACATATACTACACAATATATGCAACTGGGTATATCCGCATCTCTAGTTTGTTCTAATCTATGTACATATGTTTGTATTTACGTACATGAACGAGTTTGAACGACTGAATGCAATTTTTACAGTAGCTTCCTTTTAGGTCCAAAGTGTGCACTAATTCGGGAATGTTAGAAAATTTAAAAGTGTCAAACTTCGTATAAAAAGCATCAAAAACAACGAGCCCATATTTATTATACCCTTTTAGAGGGTATTATAATTTTGTCGTCAAATGTGTAACGCATAGAAGAAGATATCTCCGACCCCATAAAGTATATATATTCTTGATCAGTATCATCAGCCGAGTCGGTATAGCCATGTCCGTCTGTCCGTTTGTCTGTTTCTATGCGAACTAGTCTCTCAATTTAAAGCTATCGTCATGAAGCTTTGTATTCGTTCCGAAATTATAATTCCCTTTGCAAGGGTATAAAAAATGGTCCGTTTCGAGTAATATTTCAGACACAGTACGGTTTATTCCCCTGCTTCCCTCAAAATTGAAGAGGACTGAATTTATTAGGATCAACGCTTAAGCTCATGTGACAAATCCGTTTAAAATATAAAACAATGAGTTTATATAAATAGGAGTTTCAACTCCTGATTATAAACTAAACATAATTCTTATCATGGCTGGCGGCAGGCACGGCAAAAAAATCGCAGAGTTATTCTTGATCAGCATCAATAGTATGAATGAACGCGTCAATCTTAGAACGTATGAGTTAATAAGCTTGAACGTAGCTCCTCCTTTTGACCGCATAGTGTGTATCTGTTTCCGATAATCGATAACTTGCTCCATATCCAATCAATTTAGCAAGTCTCGTAGGATTTAAGAGCTTGAGTCACCGAATTTGACATGTGGCATCTAGAATAGGATTAAGAAAGTAATTAAGAAAGTTCAGTTGATAGGAAAAAAGAAAGAAAGAAGTTATCAATAAAGTAATGAAATTTATACTTGATATACAGAGTGTTAAGTAGGGAAATCAACGACCCGGTGGGCAAAATTTATAGCCTGTCCGTCAAGCTATGCCCCTAGTTTCGGGAGGTATCCTGAAAGCAACGATTTGATTAGGGGCAAAGAAAGTTCGGTGTGCGATGTGATAACTGATACCAAGTGTCTCTAATCTTCTGGCTGTCGTCATGTGCAGTCATGACACAGTCTCCATTGAATTCTATAAACAGCATTACAATTGCGATTGTTTGTATTTACTTTATTTTTACTTTAATTGCTGCTAAAGCAAACGAGCTCGTAACACGAGCTGCATATTCGGGTGTTGTTAGAAGAAGGTTCAGAGTATTCGCTAGGCTAAGATCGTGCAAAAATAAATGATGCTTCAGAATTCCACAATTGATATCAAGCAGATATAGTCGAGATATATCGTGGAGTCGAGTCGTCGTCTACCTTACCTGTCACTAGCGCCTACCTGTGTTCCCAAGATCTACAATAATCGATTTATTTTCTAATGGATAAACATTAATTTTGGTTTAGTATATTTGATTAAAAAATGTGACATTTCAGTATTTTAAAATGCTTTGATACTAGATGCTTACTTGCCAGTTCTTTGATATCCAAAACTATGGACAATAGTAAATCTACTAATATTGAACGAATTATAATGTTTTTTAACACAATTGCTTAGTGTAAATATTTAGTATATGTTATCTATGTGTGTGAATTATATTCAGAGACCTTGTTATACAATTCTATTAAGTGTACTTGCCTTAACTTAATCTCAATCTTCAAAGTTAGTAGTGCCAGCTATTACCCATCTGCAATGTGTCCGAGGTCTGCATTCATATGGTCTTTAACTTTTTTAATCTAACTACTAACTCTAACCAGCTCATTCTGGGAAAGAAATTTAAAAACTATGGCATGGCTCATAAAGGAAAACAGCAAGCTTTCTCTGAGCAACAAGGTGCTGCTGTATTAAAACCCTACTGGCCCCAGTTTGGCGCTATGCAAGTCACATCTTCGACACTGCAGCAAAATCTCATTGGAGGAAAATTAGTGTCTTCCAAACCAAGGTGCTGAGACTAAGTACTGGGGCCCCCTGCTACATCCGCAACCGGGCCTTAGCAAGAGACCTAAGGGTTTCCTTAGTGGATGACCTTTTAAGTCAGCAGTCCACCAGCTACATGGTTCGTCTTTCTGCCCACCCCAACATATTGGCAAGAAGGCTTTGCAGAAGAAAGCGACGGTGAGTTCGCAGGATCCACCCCATCGACCTCCCAAACCGGGTACTTAGATAAGGAAAATATAAATCAAATAAGTTAAAACTTAATAGATAATGTTAAGTAAGTTTATCCAATTATTGTAAAGCTAGGTTAAGATGCTCAAGAATAGTATCAATAAATTAGCTAATAAGAAGAGAAAGAAATAATCCCAAAGATTTTGTCCCATATTCCCTTGAGCAGCTCGATGAGTCCGGTTATGCTCTGCCGTGGCACCTTCTCTTTGCTCTGTAGGCTATGCCCACAATAATATTTTCGCAATCTCTGAGTGTGATGAGGCTAGGATTGGCAACTTGCAATGTGCGCTTTCACAACGTGTTTAAATGTTTGTTGGATAGTGCTTTGGTCAGAGAATTGAGGTTGGGAATCCTTTATAGCCCGAACCTTAGCAGAAAGCGCTTGTATTCCACCGCTGCACACAAGGAATCCTAAGTATTCCTCGCTCTTTTTGAAGAATTTGGGTACATTTTAGATGGCTCTCATGCCCGCGTCTCGAAGACTTTTCGATAGATCAAATTATTACGTCGTCTACATAGATTTAACTTGCTCCCCCAATATTATTCCCATAGGATAATTTCTTTTGCCCTCTGGAATATAACCCAAAGTCTCCAGAATCCATACACCATTAGTTACAGGAAATGTGGTTTGGGCTAGAGGTTTGAACTAAATGTCAAAGCATTTGAAATGGGCAAATTAAATAAATGTATTGAATTGTCTGTTGGCCATAAGCGATTGATAAGTGAAAAGGTTAAGTCGCAGGTCAAACTAACAGACATCTTCCTTCCCCCCAAACAAAAATTGTTTATTAAGCTAGAATTTGAATGGCATAAATATGAATATTTTATGAAATTTGGACAACAAGCACAGAAGTTTTCAAGATTAAATTCCCCATAAAAACACAGGTCCAGAATATTATTAGAGGTACAAACTTGGTCTTTGGTATTTACACAAAAATATGGATGCCTTTTTAATGTCCTATAAATTTCATAAGCAATGGACAATAAACAAAAAACTAAGTAAATCACGAATGCATTTTTAATATTGGCAAGGGGGCAAGGGGGAAAGCAGCGCAACCGCATGTGTGCATGTGCGCATGCTCATGTGCCCGTGCATGTGTGCATGTGCGCATGCGCATGTGCCCGTGCATGTGCCCGAGCATGTGTGCATGCGTTTACGCATGTGAAACAAGGAAGCTCGAATGAACTAAAAGGTATAATCGCGCGTTGAAGTTACTGTTTTTGTTGTTGTGCTATTAATAAGCAGATACTTCGAGCGTTTATGTTATGAATTTGTATACATATTTTATTTTAATAGTATTCTTTTTTGCTCAACTGAGCATCTATTTGGGTAACTTTAAAGTTGCATAAAGAGAAGACCTCAATTATCGAAGCTATTAAGGAATGCATTGCATATGGGGTGGTGTTAAGAGAAGAGGAAGCACAGCCTGTATATATCTTGTGTATTTCTTTTTGAGTATGTCCATTAAAGGGAAGTTTAAAAGTATCTTTAAAAAAGTTGATTTAATTAAGTAAAATTAAGAAAAGGCCGTTGGACTTTCCGCAAACATTTTTGAAGCCGAGCTCGAAGTCGATCGCATGTCGGAAGAAAGTTCTTCAGTACTTCAGTCGTATTGAAGGAACACAAACTATAACTATAAATATTGTATTTAAATTTTATTTATAATTTTATTCTGGTTCGCAATTGATCAATATACACACATAGTATTATTGGTATAAGTACTAATAAAGTAACTGATAGCACTCTTATGTTTAGTAGTTAAAATGCACTTTCATTGATGATGAAAGCACAAACTACTTATGAACCTATATATGTTGTATATATAAGTACTATTTTACTAACCAGAACTAGCAATAGACTATGTTCACAGCCAATTTGTCAACGTACAATAAATATTTTTTTGCAATTTTCGCACATGCCATTTGCCGATACCTTACGATTATTATTGTACTAAGTAACTTAAATTTTAAAAAACAAACAAAAACATTTGGTTACGTATATATAATGTGTATATATATATGTACGTACTGCATGATGCATATACAAATATATACATATATACATGCATCATGAATACTTAGATATTTGTTAACATATGTACATATATTGATAGACATGCATACATGTTTGCACACTAGACTGATCGGCATTGATATATAAAATATGTTCATTGTATAAACAATTGAATTAAAATTAAATAAATTAAGCAATTTTAAGAATACATGACTCTGAGATGGCTCTAAAGCTAAAATCAAAGAGTATTTAAAGTTGTCATTTAGAATAGTTATAGTATGTTGTTAACATACATGTATGTATGTATGTATCTATGTAACAATATCGGATATATTAAGTACATATGTATATGGCTGTACACGCATTTTAAGTAGGTTCAAGTAAGTAAGCTGTGTAGGTAGTATGTCTTTCAAACTAAATTGGAATTTTTAGTCTTAACGTTAGTATCTTTAATTAATACTACTACACCGACTTCTTACAAATACCTGGAACGACGTCAGTGCAAAGACCAAGACATATTTATCATTGTATTTAAAAAATAAATACAGTCTAGAGTCTCGATTCGTCTAATTGTTTGGAAGATTTTTGAAAGCAAACGTACATTGTGATAATCTCTCATTGTGTTTAATCTCTCGTTCTTCGTATGAGCCATCTTTTAAGATCTTAGGATTACATGCTAATCATCATATACCGACATATATACATACATATATTCACAAATTATATGTGTATTTGTCACAACTGTTACTAAATCTAATATTGTCGCAATTATTTTAATTTTATATGCATCTATATCCATGCTTGTATGAACAATGTGTATAAAATAGCATATTTGTATAATCAATTTGCAGGGTAGAAGAAGTATGCGATTAGTCTTATGAATTACATAATTTATACGTTTTAATTAATTTAATTATATTTAGTTCTCACATGTTTGTTTGCTTACGTTCATATGCATGAATGTACTTTTGAATATAATTAGTAATTAGTATAACTAACTTTGCTAACATTTGTGTAGTCTTTCAAAAATACATACATATTTTATTTATTATTTATTATTATTATTATCGTTCAGAACCCTTTATGCTAATGGGTTAGCCCTGCAAGAATCAATATAAAATTCATGCCAAAATTTATATTATTTTATTGGGATGTATGCATTACACGCCATTTTAGTAATGAGTAGGAAAAATTTTATTTTAAGCTGGCCGGCTCGAGGTCAATATATAAATAAATGTTGATTTAATTATTGAAATGATTTTGTGCCACTTTCATTATTATTATTATTACTATGCAGATCTACAAAGTTTTCATTACTTAATTCTGCATCCTCACCAAACCATTATTGACAAATCAATGAATGAGCATAGCTAATATGTTAATAACCAACAGCATATATACTATGTATTCATGTTGCATGCCAATATCTTCCAAGATGATAAATATTTGAATTGAATATCACAACAAATGATGTGCCTACATACGTCCCAATAAAATGTAAATATAAATACATATACTCATATATGCTATAATGTATGTGTAAACATGTTATAATATATGTTACATATGTTATAACATGTGTTCAGTCATTTGGAGGTTGGACCAGTTTCTGAACTGTATTCATGTATTCTCATCAATGCTCCCAAAACCGTACATATTACTATGTAAGCCTCCGTACGTATACATATATGGTGAACGAATCAATTGAAGTTGTGCATGTAATCTAAATATGCATGTATATATGTATGTGTATATGTGTATGGGGGTACGTGTACATACTTGCATGTTAAGCATTGTACTTTGTATTGGCATACAAATATGTATGCATGCATGAGTCTGTCATTAGACCATTGATAAACTCATGCATTCAACACAAATTGATAGCCCTAAATGCTAATTAATGCATATACATACACATACACGTGCCATATATATGTTGATATATCATATATATTCATATTACAAAAGACATACATATATATACATGCATAGGTAGGTTATTGAATATAAGTGTGATGCTTAATTTAACAGAATTCTCTAAGGTACGTTTCCTTTAAAATACGATTTACTTCTAGATGTTTTATGTACAGTTGCTTAAATTTAAATGAGAGTTATATAATTTAAAATAAGTGATGTTGAAATTAATCTGTTTAGCTGTATTAAACCATATGCATTTAAACATATCTATATATATAGTATATCAGTTATGGCTTGCCCAAAGCCTAGCTTGTTGACATTCTGTCAATTGTTCACGATACATAATCCCGATTTGGATTTGTTGAGTATTCATCGGTAAAACGGCCCGTTGCTGAAATCAAACAAATTTCAATTTGTGTGTACTTATTGCTTTCAAATCTTAAAATACGAGATGTCTCTTAAATGTGAATCTAAATTGCGACATACCTATGGATTCTATAATAAATTAGCTGGTATTTCGCGTCCTTGCTCGGTCATTCTTTGTTTTTCCTTTCAGTTTTAGACATTGATTCCCCGTTTCCCACCCGTGAAAAGCTTAAATCGACTCGTACTAAAGTTATGTTTTACATAGATATTTGAAAATGAGTTTAAAGTCCTTCGCCTTAGGACATTTTTCATCCAAAAGGAACTTCAAACACGACTCAAATTATCCGTCTCAATGAATTTTCATATAGATTCTTGGAAATGAATTTGAGCTAAAACATCTCTTTAATAAATTTGAACAAAGATTTTGGAAATTAGGTTGGGAAAAGACAAATTGTATATAACCATGACTATAACTATAATTTCTGCTTACTTGCTCACATTCGGACTATGTGTAAATCTTTAGTCAGTTAGTCAGTCAGGACAAACGAGCAATTAGAAGTCAAAGTATAAAAATAAATAAAAATAAATTTGTGAACTAAATACTTACCATCTTCCATTAATATAACCTGTGTATTTTCTATATTTGTACTAGCTACAGAGTGCGGAATTAAGTTGAACTCGTCTTCGGCAAGTCCATTGTTCCAACGGGATCTGACACTCGAACGGTGCGCAGAGGTCACAGCCATAGTTGGTGTTGAATATAGGCTTAGATTTGTAGGACTTATAACACCTGACATTGTCGAAATGGATCCCGCATATCCAAGTAACTGCAAGTATAAATATTTTGCAAATTTATTACCCGCATATGTATATGTAGCCAAAATCCAAACCTCTTCGGTGGAAAGTGCAATGCAAAGATTTTTTGAAGTGAAGTTTTAATTTTTTTCCGATTTGCTTCAAACTTATTTTCAAAGTTCGCATAAGAATTTTATGAAAACGTGTTTCACCGATTTGGGAAATTTCACCCGCAACAGTGGTAAATTGGCGGAAATCGTTTGTATAAAAGTAGTTTGTTGACCATCCGATCAGTTTTAAAATCATTTTCAAAGCTTTTTGAGAACATTTACTTTCACGTGCCACGGGTCTTTCGATTCGAAGTATAGTCTTAGACTTTGGTGTTTACAAACATTTGAATACCATATGCATGCCCTATAAATTTATATAGATCGGATAATAAGCACCGAAGCAAATCCCGAAAACATTTCCCACTCTATGGGAGCAATTTTGCAATATGAGATTTTCGAGTTTCGGAGAATTTTCTCCTGATTGCTTTAAAATCATTACGACTAACTAGTACGTAGTGTAATCACAAATCCGTTAGTTATGTAAGCATATAAGTGGCTATGTTTCCTAGAGATATGATTAGTCAATAGTCTTTAACTTTTCGATAAAAATGCTACTCGAATAAATTGATCAACATAAAATGGCTTCTTAACCATTGCGGAGACCTGTCACTCGCTTGTGGCCCAATGTGGTAATATGCGATCCAAATGTAGAGACTAAATACACATACCAAAGACAATATATGTAAATTGAATTGAATCGAATTTGAATGCGACGCAAAATTCCTAGCCTGGCTTTTCCCACTCCAAACGACATGCCAGCCGACTGGCTGTTCGCTCTTCAAAAGCCAGACGCACGAACGTCTTCGGCAAAGCTGGTCGATGACGCTCTGCGTCGTTTCGTTCGGCCCTCATAGAGCCGAAGCTGAGAGTACATTCAATTTTTAGCTCTTTCGCTCTTTCAAAAAAAAAAGCTGTATAGTAGAATTTTGTTGTCTGGCGTTACTTATCTCATTGTCTTTGCCAATACCCTATTCAACATTGGCAAATCTTTACTTACCGATGTTGATTGAGAATGAAAGTGATTAAAGTACTCCCGACCATTAGATGAAGGATACATTGGTGCTGCGATTCGAGTTAAAGAATTTAGTGGCATCTTACATCGAGCATCTTCGGTAGAAACATGAGGGCTCGGCGATTGATGTGGTTGCGGTGAGGTTCTCGAGACAAGTGTTGTGCAGTCAGCGTTGGTATTAGGATCTGTATCGGAGTTAATCGGACTGTGATTGCCTTCCATAGAATTAATAGTTCGATTCTCATCATCGACCAAGCCGGTCTTTGCTACGCACAGGCTATTCGTAGCCAGGCTTGAAGACTGACTGACCGCAGACGATGGCGGTGATTGAACCATTGCCAAATCTCCGCTGGTTCGAATAATGGCCACAGGTCGTGCCATCGGCGGCAGCATCGGCGGCAGCATGGTGCTGTGATAGTGGGTCGAGGGTGCAGCCGCAAGTTTTGAATTTCTGAGTTGTTGGTGTATCTGATAGTGTGGCGAGTGGGTGTGCGAGTGGCTGTGCGAAGACAGTTGATGCGAGTGCGGGTGCTGAAACACGGTATTCTCAGGTGTTAAGGGTGTAGAATGGCCGCCATCCTGGCACACGTATGTGACAAAATCAGAAATGTCATGAGTCTCCGATTGAAATTTGTCGGCGTGTTGCTGTTGTTGCTCGGACTGCGATTGGTTATGTTCATGCTCCTGATCTAATATCGTCGTATGTGGCAGAAGGCGTGGACTGCTATGCTGTGGATAATACAGGGTATTGACTGGGCTAACAGACGTGGCCAGAAACGTAGAACAGTTATGGTGCAGAATTGCTATAAAAGAGAACAAATTTTGTATACTGATTACTTGAGAGTTAAATTAAAATGGAATTACAAGAAAAATGTGTTCAGGAGCAAAAGAAAACTCCAAAACTCTTTAAGGCATATAACAAAATAAGAAATATTTCTATGACGCAACGGATCAATTTTGCAGGATATGTGTATGTTAAGAGCATAATATATTTTGAACTGTGCGAGTAACACGATGTTTGCTAATATCATGGAAAAACCATAGAAATCAATAGTTTTTGGTTTAAAAATGTTAATTTGAAAGTTTAATATTGAACAACTTCTATGCTTATTGTCCGAACTTCATGAATGTTCATATGTTCTACATGTATCTTCATACCAAATCACAAGAATTGGTATATTTATACCCTGAACCCATTGAAAATAGGTAAAAAGGGTATAAACTTTTTGTGCAAATGTATGTAACAGGCAGAAGGAAGCATCTCAGACCCCATAAAGTATATATATTCTTGATCAGCATCAACAGCCCAGTCGATCTGTCCGTCTGTCCGCCCGTATGTATGAACGCAAGGATCTCAGAACCTATAAGAGCTAGAGACTTGAAATTTTTGCTGTAGGTCGAGTTTGTTTTTCGATCTGCGATAACTTTCCCCGTTTCCAAGTAATCGATAAAAATCGATATCGAAATCCTGTTTTTTGAGCAATTTTGGTAAATAATAAGAGCTAGAGTCACAAAACTTGTAGCTTCTAGAATAGTATATGTATTTCAAGTATCTTTCTTTTTATACCTATTGCCACCTCTCCGCTACCACCGAAAAGCTATAAATCAAGTTAATAATTCAACTTGTATAGCCCATCAATTCAAGCCACAATTTATATGAAATTGACTTTTGAACATACACAAATATTCTGTATTCTATTCTATAATAAGATGTACTGTCGAAAATTTCATTAAAATCGGTTGAGAAACACAAAAGTTATGTGCGTGTTAGCAGCATAGCTGCTGCGCAAATTCCAAGAATTTCTGTATACATGTACACACACACACATTAATGCGCGACTGCTTTAAATTCTATCAACAGCATTGCAATTGCGATTGTATTGTTTTCTGTGCTGCTATTCTAATTGGTTTTTTTCTCATTAAAGCTCAGTTATTGGTGTGGCTTTTGAGTAGAGGCGGCGGCAAGGCGTGCGGTTAGTTGCGAGTTCAAACCATGCCAGTGGAATAATTTGCTGCATTTGGTGCTGGAAGAAAAGGGGTTGAGGGTATCCCCCCCCCTAGTCGGGAGCTCCCGACTAGGAACCTCTTACTTGTTAATATTGGTGCGAATGGAGTAAGTAATTAGAGTAAGAGTAATTAGCTCGTTTTGTGTATGCTGTCCGGGATTTCTTGATTCGTCCTGATCTCTTGATATACATATAAGCTTTACGGGGTCGGGGATGACAATTTAGCAATTTTACAGGGTATAAAAATGGTTCTTTTCTTAAGATATCCAAGCCAATCTCAGCGATTGCGAGCGGTTCTCAACCTTATCGGCATCGGACTACTATGGCACATACCATTTCCGTTTTAATATGCTCTCAAATTATAAGCATAATCTTATGATAATCTGACTTGGATTTAGTATAGCTCCTATAGAATAATTATGATAATTTTTCCTTTAATTTATATGATCATTGAATTAGGTGCTGTGTATTTGTAAAGTGAGCGTCAAATCGATAATTAGGCGAATATGTATCGGGAGGGGGATCACTAGAGTCACTTAAGTAATATAATTATCTAATCCCTAATCTATCCTATAGAATGCCAATGTTTGTATAAGTTAACCTGTAGAGTAGTATTACCTTCTGTTGAACGAATTGGTGGCATAGTTGTTGCAATTGGTCGGCTGTTTAATGGGGTATATCGATGCAGAGATATTGAAGAAGATTCAGTAGAAGCCGCTGGCTCGCCATTGGAATTGATGTTGTTGTCTGCCGATCGAAGAATCACGGAAAAACTGCCAGTTGTACAATTGTCCGTGCTTGTACTTGCACGGGAAATAATCGGGGGCGAAGAACTGTGATCGATCTTACATGCATCGGTGGTGGAACCATTTGTTGTATCCGCACGTAACAATGGAGATGTTGATAAATGCACACTTCGCTGATTCTGATCGACAAAGTCAACTGAAACGAATGATGTGAGTTGGGAGTTGAGAATATCATAATCATTGAAATTAAGATACTCACTGCTGAAACCACCTGGAATCGGATTGGCGACAATAGCTCCAGCCTGAGCTCGCCCTTGTGAGCTGGATATTGGCGAATCTGGGGTCAGCTGGTATGAGTTGCAGTCGAAAGCAGCTCCCATATTCTCCCTCTTGATGATGTTCGTATGCAGGCTATTGTCACTTATTTCATCGAGTATTGAATCTAAAATATACAATAAAATATAAATAAAATATAATTAAATATAAATAAATGCTGGGGCACCTTTGGATAGTGTCCAGAGCTCTTGGGATGAAAAGACTCCAGTTGCCAAGATAATATCGTTGCAAACAACTCCATTGTATGGATTATGTCTTAGACTTTTTGCTTTTGCCTCATTCTCAGCATCATCCTTTCTGTCAACTGACAAATTATTGTTTCGATTGTGACCACAAACGGGGGCGGCGGCTGATCTTGCTGTCATCGTCGAATTAGCGACTGGATTTATCGTTGAGTTATGAGTATTGATAAAGTTTGCCAAATACAAGTCCAACTCTCTGACAGAGACGTTAATGTGATATGGATTCACACACAGACCCGGATGAAGGCATTCTGGGTTCTTTTCCAAACGCTCTCCGTCCGTGCTCTCCAATGGTATGGCCTTAAATAGGATAACCATAACGAGGTCCAGGCGCCAGACTTTGTCGGCCTGCCTTAGGCAATCGATGCGTCGCATTTTGCCCTTTTGGTCGGGATTGGAGAGGACGCAAATCGATTTGCGTTTGCCGATTATCGATTGAACAAAATCCTCCCGGCTCTCTTGTGTTATGTCCTTTCGCAATTTACCCAAGAGACGAGAAGCCCATTTTTGTTTTACTTCTGTTTTTTCATTCTGCAATCAGCACACACACATTAAGATTATGATTGTTACCAAATATATTTGTTTATAATTATGTCAAGTCTTCTTACCTGTAGCTCGTCCTTGCAATGCCTCTCTTCTTCCAAGGACATACGCTTTTCGTGCTTCTTGTAATACTTGCGCTTAGCAGCTTGCAAGTTAAACCAAGAGTACGAGAATGATTTGACGTATGGTAATAATGCCTCAATGAAGGGGTGAAATTCATCCTACATTATAAAGAGATGCACAAATAGTTAACAATCAAATCTATTTTCATTTAACAGCAGTCGAAAGTTTTCACAAATTTACTGCCATTTTCAAGCTCATCAGGTATTCCACCGAGTTTAAATGTGGCAAATGTGGCATATGTTGAAAATAGAATATAAGTATTCTGAATATATGTAGGTTGTGAAAACATTCGTGTGCTGCATTTTTTAAAACATTTTTCTAGTGGCTCACATTAAAACATTTAACACACCAAAACGCGTTTGAAACAAATTGTATTATTCCAAATAATATTTATCAAGCATTCATATAGAAGAAATGAGAGTTACAGATATACAAATCAATAATAATACACACTAATGGAATGGGTAAAAAGTACAATCTGTGAAATGGATTGTAAATTGAAGTGAACGCTATCTCCAACAAAAGCACATACATATATTCAATTATCTATAGTCTTTTTCAAAATTAACAAAGTGTAGGCCTCCTTTTCTAATATTAAAAGTTTGTCGACATAAACGCAATTTTTTGATCCTATTGACAGTAGATACTCCAAGCTTTTCAATTACTATCGTGTGAAGCGGCTCAAATCACAAAACACAAATCGCGAAAAGTCGTGAAATCAATCCGATCACAAACCACAAATTGCGAAAATGCATGAAATCAATCCGATCAGCTGCAATCGGAAAAACAGGTCGAGAGCAAAGTGCTTTTTGGACACAATATATTCGAGAGAAATTTTAGTGAATTTCTCTATTTTTAATAAGTTTATAGTATAATATTGATTATACAATATGTTTATTTGCTTAAGGCATATTAAATGTACAATTATCATGTCCAAGTGAATTAGGAAAGCGATGAAAGTCAAAGGAAGTGCTTGTCAAAATAACTATACCGACAACTGTATATTTAAAATCATAATAAAATTCGAATAATTTCCAAAATTAATAGCCTATGGCCATGTTTGAAAAACTTCGTATAACTCCCATAGAAATATTCTCGACTTCACAAAGTATAGCAATACTTTGCCTTATAGTATCTGCAAGGATATTTAATCTTACTTATAAATATTTGAGTAGTTGTTACAAGAAGTAGGACACAAATTAACAGGTGTGCTTAAAAGTATTGTGAAATACTATAAAATACATACGCATACACACACAGCTTTAATGCACGTACTTCTTTTTATGGTATATTAAATGTCTAAAGGTGTGCTTTTATATACACATACATCGATTTTAAATACATACATATGCAATTACCATATATGCCATATATGTATATTTATATATATTTATATTTAGGGCGCTTTCATTGCTTAGTTTAGCCTCTGAAGAATAAGCTCGATTTCCCATTTGACTACAAACAATATTTACAATCTGTATTATGTATTTGTTGCCAATTTTTCGGCCAATATCTGAATGCCGCAGTTAATTTCATCACTATTTTGAACAACCCAAATATGCACAGGAAAGAATTGTAAATTCTCCGTGCAAGCCCGGACTTTATTTTTCGTGTGTTTCGTTCTTGGTTCTAATTTATAGTCGTTAATTGAAAATCTATATTTCTACAACAGTCTAAACACAGATTAAGAATATGGGGGGGTGGGGGGTAGTACTTAAAGAAAGCGTCCTTTATAGTCGAAGCTCCGACAAAAGCATGTTTACGTATTTATTTATTAAAAAAAAAAATACAAGGTGTTCTTAAGAGTTAAGAAAATAAATTTAGAAGAAAACAAATTAAACATACATAGTACAATAAATATAATGCTGGAAAACACACTCTTGCACAATGAAAGGAAAAATTGTATGTGAAAAGGCAACAAGATGCAGTCAAAATACTCAAATGTGAGCTTTGTTTTTTTTTTTGTTTGTTTGGGTAAAAATCGTAAAAATGCAAATATATACATATATCAACATAAAGACACCAAGAATTTTAATAAAAACCCAAAGTATCATAAAATTTTTAGTTACATTTGAAATATGATTGATTAATGTTGTATTGTTGTTGTATTCGCAATTTTATCCTAAAAATCCAGAGCAATTATTATACCTAACAATAGAATTAGTTAACTTTGATTAGTTGCATGTAATCATACTTATGCTAATTTTGTGGGATATTTATTCTTTCATTAGTCGACGGGAAGACAGGAAAACAAATGAACAAAACATTTGTAACAGAGAAAACTAAAAGAAATATTTGACTTATAAAATTTGTATAATTTCAGCTGTTAAGACTGACTGCGCTGAGAATAATGTGTACATTTCTTTTATTTGAACCTTTGCAAGTAAACATTGTGTTTTTTTATTCAAAAATGCTCTTTGAACCGCTTTAATTGTTCCCCTGTTGGGATATATTGCTTACCTGTCCGGTCGAAGATGTTTGCAAATAGGAAGATACGTCCGTCTCGATCATACAGCTTCTCAGTGTATCTGGTATAAACATACCTTGCGCACTTGATTTTTTATCATTGAATTTCCTATAGGCCGGCTTGCATCGACAAGTATCTATAACTCAATATGATGGTTCTTAGTAAGTATATTCATCGAGCTTTATATTTCTATCTCTGACCAACTAACTAATTGCTAATTGCTTTACTTTACCTGCGTAATTCGAAGACTTCTTGCATGTTTTCTGCTGTTATCTCTGCTGTTATTTCGAGTTCAATTTAAGTATTAATTGGCCTTTTCAAGTCTCTGTTTCAATATTGTTCTATTGTTCTGTCAGATTTGTATTCATTTTCGAGCCGTAGGTACTGCAATAACAAGGAAATTGAAAATTAGAAAACAAATAATAAATAAATTGTAAATTGTAATTATTATTATTTGTATTAGCAGACGTGTGTATTATGTATGTTATTTATTTAATATATTTTTTTAGCATTTCCATTCGCATATTGAAGAACACTTTAAGTTTCATTTTGAGCGTTACACAATTATTACACAATGAATATATATACTACACCCATACATACATACATACATATTGTAGTATTGTAAAGACTTGTGCAGCCAGCTATTCGATTCATACATATGTATGTATGTATGTATGTATATGCACTTGTAATGTTTTGAATTGAAACATAGATGCAAATAATTTTAGAACATGTTCACGGCAGTCCAGAGAATGCAGGAAAGGCATACCTACATTAACACAAACAAATGTATATACACACACTCACACACACTCGGCACAACCAAAAAGTGACAGAATAGGTGCGTTGTGCGAAACGGGTACCTTTCGACTAAAAGTTAAACTCAAAAATGATCCAATTCCCGAAGAGGAGCTGCACAGACAGCTCTTTGCTCTTTGCTGTCTCTTCGCCTTTTAATTGGAATCTCTTTTTCTTTAACAAATGCAGTAGATAGGTTCCTTGGAACCATTTGCTGGGCCAAATCCAAATCGTTCTAAAAATGAAATACTCTCCACTCTGGTGAAGTAATGCCAGACATTCAGTATGTTAGCCAGCAGATACATGCGCAGACATTAAAATTCTTACTGCGCATGTGGCCAATTGGCCTCAGCGAAAAGTTCTCTCTCTCCCCTCTCTCTCTCTCTCTCTCTCTCTCTGCCTTCTCTATGTCTCTTCCTCACTCTTTATCTGTCTCTTCGTATTTTGCTAGCCATACTAAAAAAAATTGATATTGCAATAGAGTTCAATAGAGACTTACGTTTTACCTCTTGCAGCCCATTTTTTCTGTTTCTAAGAGTGCCCGACTCGAGGATATCCTGTACTTATCTTCGAAATATACCTTCGTAAATAGGATTTATATATATTTATATCTTTATATTTTTATCTTTAAATACAAAGCGGATGGGATGAAAATAACTTCAAATGAGAGTTTTTCGTTGGCTACCGATAAGCTGATAGGCTTGGGCCCCAAAAACTAAATAGATTTTTGTTAATTTTTCGCAGGAAACGTATTTTTTAGCTAATTTAAAGAAAAAAGATTGATTTTCTCACCATTTTTCGGGGTTGGGTGACTATATAGCGACAATCAAATCCTTGACACATAAGAAATTCAATGCCGGATTCATAAGTTATGGCGAATATCAAAAAATGGTCAAAAAATAGATTTCAAAATCTAAAAAACAATTAAAAGAAACGTTCCTTACGAAAAATTTAGCAAAAAATAACATTGGCCATATCAAAATTTGTAATGTGCTGCTTTACGTTGAGCTCTGAAAATACGTTCGACGTTTTGACTATTTTTCGACTATTCTATCTTGAACAGACTCGCCCAGGCACATCCACAGTTCCAGCTCTAACAGTTTGAACTGTGATCATAGATGATGATGTAATGCTTACAATTTTATTTATGCTGCTATGCTGACAATTGTCAGATTATTGTATCTGCAGAGTGTGTTTTTTTAGTCGACTTGCTTGCTTGATATTACGAAGTAATATAAGTCGACATGCGCAGTCGACAGCTCAAATAGAGCTTTCAAGCACGGTGCTTATAAAGTTACAGACAGCTCTTATAATAGCAACATATACATTGATAAATGTAAGTCCTATAATCACAATATATCATGGTTAAGTTCAGCATTATCCCATGCTCCCAAATTATTCAAATAATTAGGTTTAAAGATATTCAGAATATCAGTTAACGTGTTAAGGTCGGCGGGTCGTACTTCGTCGTACTTCATTACATTTACTTATCTATCAGACATATATATATATATATAGTATGTCTGTCTGTTGCCGTAGTATGGGCCCGTGGCCGAGTTTTTCCAATACCTCTGACTCTCATAGATTATGAGAGCTTTCAGTTTTCGGTGTGCTCCTTGCAGTTCGGTTACTGTCATCGTCATCCCCTGCTGCTTAGTCACATTTACTTATACATACATAAGTCGCCGAAGTAAAGTGTTTTATAAAAAAAAGACAAACACATAATGAAAACGCAGTTTAAATATATATATAATAAACCATGAAGCATTAAACTATTGTTTCCATATTTGTGCCTAAAATATAAATCTCATGAGCTAATGCGTATTAGTATAGTTGAAAATCCTCAATTTTTTAAAGGATTACATATTTATATGAAAACATTTAAAAGGTAAAAAAACAAAGGTTATCAACGAAAATTATACATAAAAGAAAATTACAACATTGTCAGTTCCAAACGTGAAACACATATTGTGTACAACAAATATTTAAGTATATAAAGTGACATTTATGAACATATTGAAGAGGGCTGTTGATAATTACTGCGTATATGCATATGCATATGTATATGTATATGTATGTGTATATGTGTATATATATATGCTTATGTATATGCATATGTATATGTATATGCATATGTATATGTATATGTATATGTATATGTATATGTATATGTATATGTATATGTATATGTATATGTATATGTATATGTATATGTATATGTATATGTATATGTATATGTATATGTATATGTATATGTATATGTATATGTATATGTATATGTATATGTATATGTATATGTATATGTATATGTATATGTATATGTATATGTATATGTATATGTATATGTATATGTATATGTATATGTATATGTATATGTATATGTATATGTATATGTATATGTATATGTATATGTATATGTATATGTATATGTATATGTATATGTATATGTATATGTATATGTATATGTATATGTATATGTATATGTATATGTATATGTATATGTATATGTATATGTATATGTATATGTATATGTATATGTATATGTATATGTATATGTATATGTATATGTATATGTATATGTATATGTATATGTATATGTATATGTATATGTATATGTATATGTATATGTATATGTATATGTATATGTATATGTATATGTATATGTATATGTATATGTATATGTATATGTATATGTATATGTATATGTATATGTATATGTATATGTATATGTATATGTATATGTATATGTATATGTATATGTATATGTATATGTATATGTATATTATATGTATATGTATATGTATATGTATATGTATATGTATATGTATATGTATATGTATATGTATATGTATATGTATATGTATATGTATATGTATATGTATATGTATATGTATATGTATATGTATATGTATATGTATATGTATATGTATATGTATATGTATATGTATATGTATATGTATATGTATATGTATATGTATATGTATATGTATATGTATATGTATATGTATATGTATATGTATATGTATATGTATATGTGTATATGTATATGTATATGTATATGTATATGTATATGTATATGTATATGTATATGTATATGTATATGTATATGTATATGTATATGTATATGTATATGTGTATATGTATATGTATATGTATATGTATATGTATATGTATATGTATATGTATATGTATATGTATATGTATATGTATATGTATATGTATATGTGTATATGTATATGTGTATATGTATATGTATATGTATATGTATATGTATATGTATATGTATATGTATATGTATATGTATATGTATATGTATATGTATATGTATATGTATATGTATATGTATATGTATATGTATATGTATATGTATATGTATATGTATATGTATATGTATATGTATATGTATATGTATATGTATATGTATATGTATATGTATATGTATATGTATATGTATATGTATATGTATATGTATATGTATATGTATATGTATATGTGTATGTGTATATGTATATGTATATGTATATGTATATGTATATGTATATGTGTATATGTATATGTATATGTATATGTATATGTATATGTATATGTATATGTATATGTATATGTATATGTATATGTATATGTATATGTATATGTATATGTATATGTATATGTATATGTATATGTATATGTATATGTGTATATGTATATGTATATGTATATGTATATGTATATGTATATGTATATGTATATGTATATGTATATGTATATGTATATGTGTATATGTATATGTATATGTATATGTATATGTATATGTATATGTATATGTATATGTATATGTATATGTATATGTATATGTATATGTATATGTATATGTATATGTATATGTATATGTATATGTATATGTATATGTATATGTATATGTATATGTATATGTATATGTATATGTATATGTATATGTATATGTATATGTATATGTATATGTATATGTATATGTATATGTATATGTATATGTATATGTATATGTATATGTGTATATGTATATGTATATGTATATGTATATGTATATGTATATGTATATGTATATGTATATGTGTATATGTATATGTATATGTATATGTATATGTATATGTATATGTATATGTATATGTATATGTATATGTATATGTATATGTATATGTATATGTATATGTATATGTATATGTATATGTATATAAATATGTATATGTATATGTATATGTATATGTATATGTATATGTATATGTATATGTATATGTATATGTATATGTATATGTATATGTAAATGTATATGTATATGTATATGTATATGTATATAAATATGTATATGTATATGCATATGTTTATGCATATGCTAAGGTATTTATTGAGGTTATGTCTACCCGACGAGGTTGATCAAGCATCAGGAAGAAACTGAAGAAAGAGTTTCCATTGACGTATCTGCAAAATATATGCAGCTTTCTTATTTTTACTTAACTTCAGTCCTTAAATAAAGCCTGCAATTTCGACACATCTGTAAAGCTATGTTTACCTTCGCAAAAGTATTTCGTTTGATTCGGACAGAAAATGCTGTTGCATAGTGTAATCAGAAGGCATATAGGCAAGTAGTGTAATACTTTATAATTTATTTACAGATATGGCGAGCATAATATTAATAGCTTGCCTAGCTATATTGGGTCTAATCATTGCGATAGCGCTATTTTTAGCCGGCGGATATCTGTGGTGGCGGCACAAAAGGTCACAATTACAATTTATTGAACCAAACGAAGATGAGGAATCAAGTAGTTATAGTTTGAGGTAAGTTTCAAGTGTAATCAATAATAATATTACTTTGTGAACGGTGTACCTCTGACATAACGCAGAATACACGTTTATCTATATGTACATACATATGAAACGCAGACATATGCTGACAGTCAAACCTTTTGCTGACCTAAATCAAGGTTGAGGGCGAGCAAGCTTTTTTTACCCTGAACCCACTGAAATTGGCCCCACAAAAAATATATATGTATTATTAATCAGGACGACGAGATGAGTCGAATCTCACGCGTCGATCTCGGAAACTACGAAAGCTAGAGACAACTTTGAAATAGACGATACACAGCGAAAGTTGATCACGTTTATAAAATATCGCTAGAAATTGATTTGGAGACTTGATTTTTAGATCATAACTCAACAACTGTAAGATGTATGTATGTAGGCTCTCGTATAATGTACATTGAATGAGAATACCCCAAAAAGCAAAGTAAATAAAACCAAATGTTAAAGATAGAGCCTTCCGGTATTATTTACATACATTTGGCTACCATAATATCATAAAGATCGGACTACAAATACCGATGCTAATCAAGAACACGTTTCCTATACTAGTGCGTCGAAATTGGGTATCTCCTTGACCAATATTACTCAGTTGTAGTTGTTCTTTATTGTGGCGTATTCGAACTGCAATGTATTACCCGGCTTTGCCCGAACCTTAACCTTAACAAGCCTTGGTCAGCCTCGAGGAAATCAATTTTCCTACATATTAAATCAACGAATAAGCGTTTAATCGATTTTGAGATTTTCAATGAGCGAGGAACTGACCAAAAATGCAATGTAAGCCACAAAAAAAAACCGCGTATCGTGTAATTACCACACGGTACGGCATTTTCTCTATGAGTTTATTACTTTGGAACTCCCCTGTAGCTGACCGAGTTTGTAGGCTTGAGCATCTTTTGGGTTTTACTTGATTAATATTGCCCAAGGAAGTTTCCTAGTTTATGCTAATGTCTACAATATCCGAAAGCACTATTGAAGGCGAGTTGGCTCCAATAATCAAGGGAAGAACTCTTGTCGACCTGATCTCAGCTGTAACTGTGGACGCTCGATATTCGAAAATAAAGATTGACAAATTGAGTTTATGCTAATTTTTGCGTTGTTCCATTAAAGATCAGAATAACACACTACTTCAGGGAAACATTTCGCATTTGCAAAATGTTGATCAAAAAGAACGAAATGCAGATGTGAAATATTGTAATGTCGATATCATTTTCATCAATGATGATAAATTTATGTCTGTCTATTGCTTTTCTTATATCTACAATACAATATACGAAAATGTGAAAATGATAATTTATTTTAATTTTCAAAAAATCATTTAGTGCTCCGATCTATGGCGATTGCCATTATCTGTCCGTTTTAAGGATGCAAGAGATATGTATGTGTATAAGGAAAGTAATGTGAACCAAAGCAGTTGAACCTATACATGAAATGAACCACGTTTATTTATATGTATGTTTAAATTTTAAAAAACTACTGCATTACTTAGAGCCTCGCACTTATGTCGCGAACTGTGATGCGCATAGAACGGCATGCGGCAGTACGGTCACACAGAGCAATTAAGTGAAATATCTAGGTTTACTTTGCGAGAAGCTTCCAACTTTCAGACTTCCCATCACGTCAGTGGTTAATGGTTGCCGAACTTAAATCTCCCGAGTCTATATTGGTTGCTGAACAAGAAGAGAAAGCTTTCTCTCCGCAATTAGCTGGCGGCGTATTCGAAGATTATTGCCCCCGTTTAGATATACGGCATTCCAATCTGGAGATCATGCACAAACCTGGCGATATTTAAAAAATATACTTTTTTTATTATTATTTTTATTGAAAATCTGCCCCGATTGGCGCTTAATATTTATTTAAAAAAAAATAAAAGAATGACACGACTCTGACAAAAAAATTAAAAATAACAAAGCAATAAGAAAAAAAAAATAAAAAATACTATTTACAAGATATTTTGAACCTGGCTTTTACGATTTTCTATGTATATATATATATATATATATTATATACTATATAATGTAGGTCATTTGGAATAATATCTCAGCCCAAGCAAAAGTAAGCAAAATTCTCGCCATCGGAATCGAGATTGAGCTACATCGTATAGCTTCTTCTATACAATAATAAGTAGCCCATGTCTATGAGGTTTATCATTAACTCTCTGTCTGGGACGTACAATATATATATAATTATTTGGTGTTCCTTTCACTTAACTTAGAGCTGCGCAGGACATTGTGGACTCTGGGAATCCGCCAAGCAAACCTCAAGTGCCAGTTGCCAGTGCCCCGGCCATTACGAATCCTATACAAAATAATATCAATCGAAAATTGAATGGCTTTTTAAACCTCAGAACGCCTCTCATTGGGTACGTCTATAAATGCCTATTGAATTCTCTTGATTTTTATATACAATTATATTAATCTTGTTTTTAGGAGCGGCTCGTTGCCTACACCGACAAAAAAATCAAATACTTCCACAGGATCAAGTGCAAATGATGGTACATCTAAGGATACAGCGGTACGTACATATAATAATTATGTCATCTATAGAAATGAACCGAGTAGAATTCGAGATTCGTGTATTAATCAATCAATCTGTCGAAAGCTTTGTTGTTGTATCAATCTTAATTGGCTGGGATCAGAAATTTGGCAGCATGTTTTCGACATTTGTCTGGCCAAATATTTGATCTTCGCTAGCTCGAAGATAACTTGACTAAATTTCTGTGGTACATTTTTAACTAAATATAAAAAAATTTAAAAAAAAATTAAATATCTAATATATTTTACATATTTTAGAACAAAAGCATTTCAATGACCGATATGTACCTCGACACAGATTCAAGTGAAAACGTTGGACAAATACATTTCTCATTGGAATATGATTTTCAAAATACGACCCTAATACTAAAGGTTCTTCAGGGCAAGGAGCTACCGGCAAAAGATCTAAGTGGAACCTCCGATCCGTATGTTCGAGTCACATTATTGCCAGATAAAAAGCATCGCCTCGAAACCAAAATCAAACGAAGAACTTTGAATCCTCGATGGAATGAAACATTTTATTTTGAAGGCTTTCCAATACAAAAGCTTCAGTCGCGTGTAAGTTGTGTTCCCCAAAAAAAAAAGGGTGTCCATTATGTATTTAACAACGTACTATTTAAATCATCGAAATCATATTTTCAGGTACTTCATTTGCATGTCTTTGATTATGACCGTTTTTCAAGAGACGATTCTATTGGTGAAGTATTTTTGCCGTTGTGTCAGGTAAAACCTCTCAGATATATGTAGATATGCGAAGTAACAAATAAAAATCGCATTTTGGACCGTTTTTTTATAATTTCATAATTGTGTTGTATTGTGATATAATTGATATAATTGATATATGTGTGTATGTACTTTAAGGTTGACTTTGCTAGCAAGCAATCATTTTGGAAGGCTTTAAAGCCGCCGGCAAAAGATAAATGTGGTGAACTTTTATCTTCGCTGTGCTATCATCCATCAAATTCGATTTTAACATTGACATTGATTAAAGCGAGGAATTTAAAAGCCAAGGATATCAACGGAAAGTCAGGTAAATTAAACGTTTGAACGAGTTTGAGTTTGAGTTCATGTGTGAAGATCAGATAAAAGAGACGATTTACCTTTTTAGATCCTTATGTAAAGGTTTGGCTACAATTTGGAGATAAGCGCGTCGAAAAGAGAAAAACACCTATATTCACCTGTACGTTAAATCCGGTTTTCAACGAATCATTCAGTTTTAACGTGCCATGGGAAAAGATACGCGAATGTTCTTTGGATGTCATGGTTATGGATTTCGATAATATCGGACGAAACGAGCTGATCGGTCGAATATTATTAGCTGGTAAGACATATAAATCAAATATGATCTAGTATATATATAACAGAATAATGACAATATCATGAGAATAGGTAAAAACGGCTCTGGCGCCTCGGAGACGAAGCATTGGCAGGATATGATCTCGAAACCCAAACAAACTGTGGTCCAGTGGCATCGCTTGAAACCAGAATAATGCAAATAATGCAGTAAACGAAATTAATATCGTACATATACATATATATGCATATATGCATATATATATTCAAGTTTGATTATTAAATAACTTTAAACACGATTTAGCAGTATTTAAACAGGCTGCATACTGGCTAAGGCAAAAGCATAGCACAGTTTGCGTATATTATACTTTAAAAGCCATTCAACCAAGATTAACAAAAATGAAAATTAAAACTAATAAAACAAAATGAGCACAGCAATAGATTATCATATTGCTCCAATTTGTGCTTATACACATATTATGCAATTGAGCTCTATATTATTCATCATGCCTGATTAAGCTGAAGCTGAATGATGGGCAACTTCAAATAGATACTCTTGTATAATCAGTCGAAAATATACACACACATATATATAAAAAGGAAGAAAAGAAAGGAACAAGAGTGCGATACAAGGATATTGTATTGTATATTGTGTATAAAATGTTGCTGTTTACAAGTATTTCCCCGAAAAGCTTTAAACATTTTTTGCAGTTAGTTCTTAGCTATCAGCTTTATATCTAGATCAGATTCTTAGAAATTTAAAAAATATGTTATTGGATTGTTTGAGAAACTCTCCTTCGTTACTGATTTCAATCGAAATTAAGAAAAAAGCAAAAAAAAAAAAAGTCTATTTAACCAAAAAATGGCGGCGATTCAATTGATTTTTAACATATACAAACACATTATTCATTAGCATAAATTTATTGGCTAACAACTCTTAGAATACTGCAACTAAACCTAAACCAACTTGTATGGGAAAAAGTTAAATCACACACTTAAATATATGTACATAATGAAAGTTAATTGTTATTATTAGATTCTAATATTAACTCGTAAAACGACATTGTTACAAGTTACTTAAAATGCGAATTGTTGTTTCTTTTACAATAAAAGAAAGTAAAAGCGAAAAAGTGAAAATGAAAATGAAAATGACATGTTAATCTTAAATACAATATACATAGTTTAAACTAAAACTATTTAGAATTATTTAGGCTGTAGGTAATAACATATTTTTATTAGCAAAAGCCGATAAGAAAATAACATTGATTAATTCAAATAGTAACTGTAAAGAAATTAGCCAACCATTGCCGGAACAAGCGTCTACTGACATCAAGTGCAAACATAAAAATAATGAGATTGAAGTTAAGAGTTAAACAAAATGAAATGAAATGACATGAAATGAAATGAAATGACATGAAATGAAATAAAATGAATTATAATTGATGAAGAGAAACTGAGTTTAAAAAACGAAAAATCGAAAATTCAACCCACCTTGAAATTACATATTTGTTATATACCTGTTAAAATATTATTAAAAATCAATTTATGATAATTAAATTGCTGCAAATAAAGCATTTTTAACCTAGACTATGTTGACTAACCTTGTCTGTATCATTCTATTTGCTGGGACACACAATTTTATCATCTTACCTGAATTCAATTTCTTTACAATCCTACCTGATACCTGAAACCTGCATTTGCCAGCGTCGAGCTCAAAGATTTCATCAATAATATTAATTCGCTAGCCATTTGGATTTTGAAAACATATAGATTATTTATTAATATTTTCTGCCTATCTTCAGAAGAAGAAAAAACAACAATGTCCGCAAATATATTTCGACAATTGGCAGATGGGTTGAAGAAGTTTTAACTCACTTAAAACTCACGAACGATGCTTAGTACATTTGTTGAATCCATGATATGGAATATATATTACCTTATGTACAACGAGAAAGAAGTGCTATCTTCGGCACGCCGAAGATTTAATACCCTTGCAAACCAAACCTTTTCAAAATGCTCATAGTGCTTTGCCCGTATCTAAGAAGCACAGGGAAAATAGTTAATGCCGAGTATGGTTAAGATATCTTGAAAAACAAAACAGGTTTCCATACAACAACTTAATTTTCGACCGATCGTTCCTATGGCAGCTATATGATATAGTAGCCCGATGTGAATAAGATTTTGCAGAAGTGGAGGGAGCATAGTAAAACTAATAAATACCGAGTTTGGTCAAGATATCTTGAAAAACCAAAAAAATTCCATACAACAGCAAAATTTTCGACCGATCGTTCCTTTGGCAAAGAAGTGCTATCTTCGGCACGCCGAAGATTTAATACCCTTGCAGACCCAACCTTTTCAAAATGCTCATAGTGCTTTGCCCGTATCTAAGAAGCTCAGGGAAAATAGTTAATGCCGAGTATGGTTAAGATATCTTGAAAAACAAAACAGGTTTCCATACAACAACTTAATTTTCGACCGATCGTTCCTATGGCAGCTATATGATATAGTAGCCCGATGTGAATAAGATTTTGCAGAAGTGGAGGGAGCATAGTAAAACTAATAAATACCGAGATTGGTCAAGATATCTTGAAAAACAAAAAAAATTCCATACAACAGCAAAATTTTCGACCGATCGTTCCTATGGCAGCTATATGATATAGTTGTCGGATCTTAATAGGATTTTGCATATATATGGGGAGCGTAGTAAAACTAATAAATACCGAGTTTGGTCAAGATATCTTGAAAAGCAAAAAAAATTCCATACAACAGCAAAATTTTCGACCGATCGTTTCTATGGCAGCTATATGATATAGTTGTCCGATCTTAATAGGATTTTGCATATATATGGGGAGCGTAGTAAAACTAATAAATACCGAGTTTGGTCAAGATATCTTGAAACACATAAAAATTTTCCATACAAAAACTTAATTTTCGACCGATCTTTCCTATGGCAGCTATATGATATAGTGGTCCGATCTAAATAGGATTTTGCATATATATGGGGAGCGTAGTAAAACTAATAAATACCGAGTTTGGTCAAGATAACTTTATAAACAAAAATGTTTTTCATACAAGAGCCTACTTTTCGACCGATCGTTCCTATGGCAGCTATATGATATAGTGGTCCGATCCAGCTGGTTTTGAAGATTTCATGATCTTCACAAATGAGCTTGCCATTAAAATTTCGCCTTTTATCATCTAAGAAGAGTGTAAGGACGATAATAAGACGAAACAGTTATCAGATGAAAAAAAGCTGCCAATTTTTCGCCAAGTTTCCACAGTTGCGCATATATTTTCCAAATCTCTGAAACACGTATTCATCAAAATCTAACGTAGGGCTTCGAAAACAAGTTTGAAGATGACCGTCGAAACTTTAAACTTTGTAGCAATAAAATCGTTGAACCGCATTTACCATCGATGTAGCTTCGATTTGGTGAAGTGCGAAACACGTACAAGGTTAAATTTTTTAAAGATCTTTGCAAAACCGAATCTGGCCTATCAACCTTTTACCCGCGTTTATTATCCAGGAGCGGTGGATTTATTCAGATAACTTTTCACTAAGATCTTTGAATATGATTTTAAATCCGACTGGATGGTGAGTATAACAATACAAACGTTTTCCGCCAATTTGCAGTTCGCTGCGCGAACAAAATGAAGATAATGAATTTGTACCCGGAACTTCAGCAACCCAATCTTTATCCCCCATTTCCACCATGGATTGATTTTCCGAAAGGTGTGAAAATCCCGCAATAGAATTTGAAAAAAAAAAATAGATTTCAATATGACACATAAGGCAACTACAGTAAAACGTTCATGTTCTTAACTTTTGATTGTGCGATTGTGATCATCTAACAGTTAGTCAGCACAAAAAGTTATATAAATATGTAGAGGTGACAAATAAAAGCAACATAATTAATAATAATTTAATGCGGCTAAAAACGCGCTAAGAGCGCAAATTTGAATGTTACCTACCTACGCAAGAGATGCCTTGGAGACCATCGCCGTTCGTAATCGAAAATATTGTGAAAAAATAAAACAGGAATGCGACAAAATTGGCAGTCGTTTGTTGTTCACCTTTAAAAACATTATATTTAAAACGGATTTATCATTCCTCTTTAAGTTACAAATAGATTGATAGTCTCTTAGAGATACAAATATAAACGATTAGGCAATTAAGTCTATAAAATTTTGTAAGATTACTTTTATGGTTGTTATGGTTGGATTGAATTTTGTTTCAAATATCTTATTTGTTGCGACTTACAATTTTCATCTACAAAAAGATTTGAGGCATTACCCTTTGCCATTTTGCCATTTATAACCGCGGCTATGCTTTGCTTCAATTCGTTCCATTTCGATGAGATACAAATAGCTTCTTAGCTGCGTGTGCATCCACATATTTAACTGTGTCCTTCTTAATAACATTGTCAGTAAAGAGTTATAACTATAAATTTCCTTCAGGTTTGCTTTATTTTATAGTACATGCGTACACAGTAATTTACATACTTGCTTATTATTGCATATACTCTTACTGTAAGTTCGCGTGCTTCATCAACGAAGTAGAATATATTTTCTCTGATTACAACACCCGAACTTCACACTTTCTTATTACATATAAAAGTATATATATTATTTTTCTCCAAAGTGTATTTGTTTTTATTAAGTTATGTTGTTTTGTTTTCGCTTTGCCCTAAACTCGCGATGTCTGTCAACTCTACGAGTATATTGATACATTAATTGGCTTCATCATTGAATAATGAGTTCAAAAAAGGATTGAGACTCTTTACAGCCACACCTAAATTTCGAGAGAGAGAGAGTGTGTATTAATAATAGATCCAAGTACCAAAATGTAATACAAATATAAATAAATACCTTTGCCAGCTGACTGATCCTTTGAATCGCGCCATTTGTACAGCGACTCCTTCTGGATGATAAAGCCGTCGTAAAGTTCACCAAAAAGTTCACTCAACAGCCCTGAAAGTGAAGTTAGTGTCATTTTTTAGTATTTTCAAATAGTCCGAACTCTTTGGCTGGAAAGTATCAAACCTCTAGGCTGCTCTAAGCTGTGGACAAGTAGCTGTACTCCATAAAGGCACTCGAGCTGAAGGTCTTCACTAGAATCAATATAACGCTGAAAAACTGGTATGCAACACTTTTGAAAGACTTCGGGCTCGAGCTTATAGGTATTATCCTTGTAGACGATTGCAAACTTGCTTAAAGTTTTCGTCAGCCCTCTAATAAACAGCTTATCAGCCACCACAATATTGCCCTGGAAAATGTTAGAAATACGGATTAAAATTTGTAAAATAAAATGAAACATTTAAATCTTACATTGCTGTAATCAATAATACAATCTGCAGTTGCACCTTCCTTAAGCAAGTTCTCAATATGGTCTATCACATTTTTGACGTGTTTTTCGTGGGACTCGCGTTCTTCGATCACTGGCGCCTTTGAATCATTTTCCACATAGTCTAATCTCTGTGCAGATATTCAATATAGTTAAAGTTAAAGATGATGTGATATATATGATTGATATGAAAAGACGCTATAACTTACATTCGATTCAATAAAATCGATAACCTCGTTGTCGGGCATAAAATCTGACCATCGCATGTTAAACTGTTTCCACATGTTGCGGGTGAAGTTAGGTCCTACTTCCCGTGTACAATATGTCAGGTAGGTTTTAAGGAACTTTTTACCCATGCCCGGTTCGCTGTTGTCTCTCAGATTATCGTTCCACAGATCTGACACGGTCAAGTGCTTCTTGACTATCAGTGGGCCTACGCAAAAAAACGAAAATATAGTATTAACAATTTTAGCAGACGCTACATAACGAACAAAAGTGTGCATCTTAGGAGATAGATAACCTAAGCCCACACTATGAGAAATGAGAAATACTAAAGGTTAAAATTATACCCGCAAAATTGCGTTTTATATCATTTTGTTCAACGAGGAAGGAGTTACCAAAAAGTGAAATATTCTGAATATGTATGTACTACATGTATGTACTATTGCTGTTATAAACTCCGATATATGATTCAGGATTTCGATATTGACTAATATGGATTACATAGAAACATTTCGATTTTGAAGTTTTCAATTTATTATTACCTAGCAGGAAAATCAAAATATAAAAAATAAAGAATATACCAACCAACAGTTGTAATCAACTTGCTGTGAAAAACTTGAAGCCGATAAAAAACGATCGATAATTAAACCTTTTTAACGCGAAACTTCACCCATCAAATTTATGATGTAAAATGTAAAACACCCCTCAAATGAATTCAAACAAAGATCTTTGAAAATGCGACAGATCGGATTGTAAGCAAAAAGTTTCTTCCAAACGATTTTCGCGATTTTTTCATAAGGTAACTACCGTAAAATATTTCATTTTTCTAGCTATTTCGGTTTGGGCTTAGAGTTGAAAAACAGTTTTATATATAGATATATATATATGAGAACTTACCAGCAAATTGAAGAATATATAACCACAACTCAGGAATATCAACAATTAAATCGTTAGCGCACTCGCTAAATTCCTTGTAAGCAAGTTTAAAGTGCTCTACAGACATGAAATGCTGTTGCATAAGT